ACAAACTAACGTAATACTATAGTAAGCTCAAAGCGCATGCGTCATTTCTTTGTTGATCGAATTTTCTCTGGTTGAACTATAGTTTCTCCAACATGGCTGATATCGAGGACTTTTTTTTATTTGTTTCTTGAAACTTTACTAGATGATGTAGAATTAAAGGGCAGATTTTTTTCTAATGCAGAAAAAACACTGCATGCGATCCAGTTAAAGAGAGACAAAGTAGCTAAAGTAGAAGGATACGTTGTGAATGTTGTACATGTCACAGGGTGAATAAATTAATATTATAATAAATACTATATAATTTATTCATTAATAATTTGTGACCTAATATACTTATCATTTCATTACTATCATCATCATTTTCATTTATTATACAGCATAGTGAATAACAGTACTCTGGAATTTACTATGTGTTCAGTCATTCATAAAGTCGTTCATTGATATTCATGGGGTTGAATGCTCATTGGTTAGTTTGAGAGTGTGAAAGGTCAAAGGTGTCTGTGTCAGAATGGGTGAGGTTTGAAGGTGTATGATTGGTTGATATTTCAGTGTGAGAAGTGTGTGAGTGGTTTTACTAGTTTGGTACCCAATACGCATGCTTGGCGCCAAACACCCTTAATAACTCACTCCACCCTAAGACAGCCAGGAAGAAGGAAGAGTATATCTCCTCTCCAGATATAAAGTCTTTCATTTTATAATGAAGACAAATTAAACCTGTCTATTCGTTAAGAATTAATTTACCACAGTTGCTCTGATTATATTAAATACCCTATCTATTAATTATCTAATTAAAGAGAACAGTTTAAATAATCTTAAAGAATTAAATGTGAGTGTTAGCTAGTGTATGAGTGTATTCATTTATTTTACAGGTTACCTTCTATTACTTGTTATTCTTCTTATAATATTCATCAAAGTAACTGAAATACAGATACGCAAATGAACCAAAGCAGCTGTTCTGTTTTTTATAAGAAGTAACAACTATTCTGCGGCTGTGACAATGGCGCCCAACGGTGTAATTTCAGTTAAAAAGAATTCATAAGGTGATTCGATCTAATCGGTGGAGAAATCATCCATTCATGCATTCTTTTATATCATTCATTATGTGAATCATTTCAACACTGTGTTTAGTGTTTGTGAGTTTTACTCAGTGGCCTAACTTCATCAAGGAATGTACCGTTATGCCCCGTGCACTTAATCTACATATTTGTGAGGTCACAGACACATGAACCTAGGTTACTTTTGTTTTCGCTGGATATCCGAGGATCTTCGCCGCTGGAAACCGTTTTCTGGACGACACTGGACCAGTGACTGTTTTCCAAGGATTCTGTGACTTTTTTTAACTCTTAATATTAATATTCTCATTGTGTTTGTTTAAATTGCATAATGTGATATTGTTTATTTTCATGTGCATGGTATGAACGTTGCATGACGAGTGTGTAAAATTTCTAAAAGTTTAAAGTTAAAGTCAAACAGTTAAAGTAAGTAATTTATAGCAATACAGTTATTGACATTCATATCATCCCCGCATGTCTCTTAACAAGATGCACTACTAACAACAAGTACGCAATCACGATTGTGTTGTGAAATATAGAGGAAATTCGAGTTAGTAGGTGCGAGGTGAGAAATAGAGTATAGCTGTTGTCAGGAGAACCTGGAAGTAAAATTTAGTGTCATAAATAGTTTATTTCAGCTCATTTCATCACCAAATCATATCATACAAACATGTTATCAAATATTAACCAGTCTTATTAATTTTTGTGACTTACAGGTGATACTTGTTATCTTGTTATACAGTGACAGTTGATTTCTATGAATTACTTTTCCATGATCAAACTCATTTCATAATTTGTTGCAGATATTCAAATATTTACAGGAAAAGAAGAGGTGAAAGCAGTGTTTATTTTTGTATTCATTATTTAGTTTATTTTTATTTAATCGTTCATCTAGGTATATATGAGCAACAGCAAATTATTGAAGTATTCAGAAAGACCAATTATATCCAAGTCTGTAGTTAGACTTTTTATCAATAGTCCGCCCCGAAACATGGCTGAAAAATTGGCGACTCGGCGTTAAACAATATTCAATCAATCAAAATTGTGAATTCTATTTCCTCTGGTTTAAAACACGAACCAAATTTAATTCTTTGAAAGTTGTTGCACAATACTCAGGTGACCTACTAGGCCCGTGGGCCTCTTGTTTGGATTTGTGGAAATATTTATTATTACTTTAACTGTTACTCAGTGAAACAAAAATTTCAAAAAGATTTATTCATATTCATATTCTAGAGTTCAGAACTTTTGACTGATGCATCGAAGGCACACAGAACATACAGTGGTTTGGGGGTTAACAATATAGGAGACAGAACATCCACGATGGTAACGGACAAAGATGGTGTCGTGTGTAAGTGCTTGTGGCAGAGGAGGTCATTCTTGCAAATGTGAGACTGAATTATTTGGGGGATTTTACCCCATCATACCCACGTAACTAGAACACTTCTATTGATTCAAAGCATTGATAAGATTCACTGTGCAGACACCACAACACTCAACAAAGCCAAAACGAATTTCGCAGCAAACAAAACAAAGAAAAATGAGGAGTCATAAGACAGTTTTTTAACCCTACACTGCATTGAGATTGACACTTTTATTTTCCATCCGTCTAGAGACAATGATTTTTCCATAAAGAAGGATTCTTCTCATAATTTCTCGTATTTAACAAAAAAATGAAATTTTCACAGAATCAAGAAGACACTATAAATAAATAAATTCACAAGATCTTGATACATGAAAGCAATTAAATGTCTAATGCATACAAAAAATTAGGTCTTTTGAAAAAACTTAAGTTTAAAATAAATCGGAAAAGCCTTTCACTTATGTATACTTCATTTATCCGTCCCCAACTTGAGTACGCTTCAATTGTATGGGGTGGTTGTCTATCCATTGATTCCGAGAAATTAGAAAAATTGCAACTACACGCAGCTAGCGCGGATTGTTACTGGACTAACTATGATTGCCTCTAGAGACTCTTTATATTTTGAAACAGGATGGGAACCACTCAGCGACAGACGTAAGATCCAAAGATTAAATATAATGTACAAAATTCACAATGATTTAGTACCAAATTACCTATCCGAGATTATACCTGATATGCGATGTAATGCTTCTGCATATACAACAAGAAACTCTCAAAATTATAGTATACCTGTATGTAAATTGCAAACCTACAAATCATCATTTGTACCAACTGTAATAAATGAGTGGAATTCCTTACCGCTAAATACCAGACTCTCGAGCTCTTTGTCTGCTTTCAAAAGTAAAATCAAACAAAAAATAACAGAAGCTCCGCCCTATTTTAATTTTGGTAAAAGACGCAACAATATACTGCATACACGGCTTCGGCACAATTGCGTGCTTAACGCTGATCTTTATAGATGTAATATAATATCTAGTCCACTATGTTCCTGCGGTAAGGTAGAAAATACGCATCATTATTTTTTCTCATGCCCTAACTACAACGAGGCCAGGAAAGAGTTTTTCGATAAGTTTTTGAGATTTAATAAAGTCCATATTGTTGACATTCAGACTTTACTTTGGGGGGATACATCACTCAGTATTGCTGAAATTGAATATCTATTTTCTATTGTACATTCTTATATTCAGCATTCTGGTAGATTTAACTGATTGTACACTTTTTTAAAACTATTTGTATAAACAATAATGTAGCAGTTATGTATGTCCACAATGAGAGTTTATTTTTCTGACAGAAAAGAATATACATGTACACATAATTAAAGACTAACTGAAAAGACAAGAGTGGGGCGTCATAGGCCTACGTGAAGACCGCTGTTTAATAATGGCCTTTAATAATTCGATAAGGTAGCTTTATAATCGGGATTGTAAAATTTTCTTTTGAAAGAATTAACACCCCCCCCCCCCCCAAATCTTTTAGTAGCACTAGTATTTGAGATGCATGACTTGGTAACTAAAAAAAACTCATTGCCGTATGTGTGCTAAAAATAAATATTGATAGAGGCGCAATTTTCCTTTAGAAATTCCTAATCATTGCAAGATACGTTTTGACGTCGTCATTGTTGCGCCGACAGCTAATTTGATAGGTTCCTTTAAATAAGAGGAAAATTTTATTTATAGAGATATTTGTTTGAAATTTTTATGCATTATTCAAAAAATGTTGATCATGATGTATGCTAATTTTTAATTTTATAGGCCTAGTAAAACAAAAGATATAAAAAATGTTCGCGTTTTTCTGGGACAACCCTCGTATGTGCGCACGTTTTTGGAAACTCGGGGAAACTTGACTTCAAATCAAATCTGGGGCGAAAATATGCGTATACTATTCAGGATGGAGCATTAAGCCACATGTCCGTTATCGACACCAGCCTTCGGGCTATAACGGAAAAGATGGACTCTTTTAATACTCTGCAAGAGTCGATGAACAACATGCAGAAAGATCTGTGGAATGAGGATGGACTAGACGATAGGATTAGATACATCGCTCAAAAGCATGAAGATAACCAGTCTGAAATAGAAATTTTAAACAGGAAAATATTACCCTCCGTAAGGAACTTCAGCTGTTGAAGTCGATTGTTGTAAATTTATACAGGAAAGTGACACAACAAGAAAGTGAGATTGTAGACCTGAGAGGAAGATCTATGAGAGATAACATTCTGATCCATAATCTGGCAGAAGAGGAAAACGAGGATCTAAATGCAAAAGTTCACCAGATCATAAGTGATCATTTAAAACTGGATATCGGTTTTGTCAGAATCCATCGTAACGGACCTCGAATGCAAGGCAATAAACCCAGAACCATTACGGGAAAACTACGCGATTCTAAAGATAAGGACCAGATCCTGGCAGCCCAAAGAGGGGAAAAAAGAGAACAAGGAGAAAAGTGCCTTACCTTGCTACATTGCACCTTAAACACCAGTGCAAATTAACGAAAGTAGAAGTAGGCTTAAGGAGATTAATACACAGTACAGAATGAACAGAATAGAAACTAAAATAATTGGGAATAAAGTTGTGTTTCCCAACGGAAATCTGTATCAGGAAAAGGTTACCACGCCTAGAGCTGAAGATCTACTCTATGTGGACGAGGCAGAAGAGGAAAAGTTAGAGGCGGTGACAAGTGATCCTATCTATGAGGGTGGCAATGTCTTCAAAACGGTGGCAACAAAGGCGAGTACCTATGCAGAGGTCAGACAGTTTTACAAAAAAGTTATGAGTGACCCGAACTCAGCCAACGCGCACCATTTCGTCCTAGCATACCGGATACAAGATGCACAAGGGAACATCCGCGATGGATACTGCGATGACGGAGAATACGGCGCAGGTAGGAGAGTGGTCCGACTTTTAGGAGATCAGAGTGCCACTAAGGCCGCATTCGTTATTTCATCATATCGGGCCAAGGCGCTTCGATATCATATGCGATGCCGTGCTCAATGCTGCCAATAAACTCTGAACAGTTCAAAGAATGAATTATTTAACACCTAACTTCTCCTGTTATCTTTGGATAATGTTTCTATAAAGTTAATAAGTACTATACATGTACACATTTTATTTTTGTAGGTGTATGAAAAAGCGCTTACGTACTTTATATACATATACCAGTTTAACTCTTGTACCTGAAAACAATATACATGTATTAACTTTGATACTGCATGTAAACATGCAATATTTGTAAGTTCCCTTTTTCTTGTCTTTTTTTCGAAACTCAATTGTAATTCTGTATATTCATATATTACCAAAAGACACTGTCACATCGAAATAATGCATAAAATTATGTATGACATCTTTTATTTATTTTCTTATCAAAATTCTAACTTGTGGCAATATCTCGTTTGGTCGACCAGTTCCAGTCGAGTCTCTCTTTGGGTGTCCCAAGTGTAGTTGTTTGTGCTGAAACTATACAAAAAAAATGATTGCTCATTATTTACAACTTTTTTTGATCGTAAGATAATCTTGATTTTCTATCTTTATTTTAGATTAAAAACAATTAACATTTGACATTATCATTTGACAAAATAAACTTAGTGCTCATGACGACACTGTCATATCAAAATAATGCATAAAATTATGTATGACACTTTTTATTTATTTTCTTTTGAAAATTCTAACCTGTGACAATATCTCGTTCGGTCGACCAGTTCCAGTCGAGTCTCTTGGGTGTCCCAAGTGTAGTTGTTTGTGGTGAAACTATAAAAAAAATGATTGCTCATTATATACAACTTTTTTTCTGCTCTCAAGATCATTTTGATTTTTATCTTTTTTTTTTTTACATTTAAACATTTAACATTACCATTTGACACATCATCGTCAGCATCATCATCATCTTCCTCAGCACTGTCTGATACTCCTAAAATAGGATAAGCTTTAATTAGTTAAAAAAAAAGTTAGAATGAGAAAACACAGGTAATAATAATGTATACAAATGGTATATCATGTTCTTTGTGGTTCTTTCAATAATCAGTGTCACTTGACATCTTGTATTCTGCGTATCAATGGCTTGAAATAAATAGCCTTTTGCTGTATGTGTTCTAAATTGCTGGGTATCTTTAAACAATATCATAGCTTCAGTGTATTATTGGTATATTCTTCTGTTGAGAAACACAGATAATAACAATGTATACAAGTGGTATCTCCTGTTCTTCGTGGTTCTTCCAATAATCAGTGTCACTTGACATCCTGTATTCTGCTTATCAATGGCTTGCAATAAATAGCCTTTTGCTGTATGTGTTCTAAATTGCTAGGTATCTTTAAACAATGTCATAGGTTCAGTGTCTTATTGGTATATTCTTCTGTGTGACTCTACATATTTGTATTTGGTAATGTACCACAATTGTTTTACTTCTTACAAAGTAATAATTATCGTGACTTACGGGTAGGTGGCCTTTTTGTTGCCTGGTCAATCACGCGAAAGGGTTCTGTAAAAGATTTTCAGAGGGGTCGTCTCAAAATATAAAATAACAAATCTCAAATTTTCGTTCGTTTTGGAACATAAACACAGGCACACACAATCAAAGTACTGAAAGTACTGAATCGAGGTGACGTGTGTGGTTGAAATGACAGATTGAAGGAAATGAAAGGAGATTGGTGTATTGAATTCATGTAAAAGTTAAAAGCATTTAAACTCTTGAACAGTGGAAGATATAGACTCCACATAAGGTATGCATACTCCACAAATTAAGCTCTTTCAAATGATGTGAAGGAATTTGTGACCTTAACAGTGATTTATAGCTTTAAATTGTTTTTTTTTTAACTCTCACTTTAACTTTTGAACCTTGATAGATTAAGTTTTCATATTTGGTGTGCAGACTCCACTGATCAAACTTTTTCAAATGACACCAAGGTCAATCACCTTGTGACCATGATTGTGACCTTTATGCTAAATATATCTTTTTTCCGAATTTTGTTGTCGCTGGTCGCATAATGTTTCACATACACATCTTATTCTTTCATTTCTTTGTATCATTAATTTTTTGTTACCAGAAGTTAAGTTCAGGACACACAAATAAAAGTTTGTTCCAATGGAGAAAAATTTTGTAAATTCTTATACTTAAATCTGGCAGAAAGCATTTTTTGATCAAACTGAAAGCTTGAAATCATGATTATCCATTACAGAGGTTCACTCTACAAAAAGATTACAAGGACTAACAAGGCAACTTTCTTTTTATGTTTCTTAATTTGAAAGGTGGTGTTGCAGAAAAACATCTCATTTAAACTTGTGATACTTTGTAAGAAAATGAAGTCATAATTCAATTCATTCCAATGTTTATTGACTGTACTTAAAGATAACTATGTATAACATGGACTAGAAAAATTTGTTGGCAGTAAACATAATTGCTAGCCTGTGCAACAGAAGTTTTCCAAAAAAAAAGGAATTACCAGTATTAACATGTAAATACATATATATATATCTTTAAAAAACATAAAAGGTATATAAAATAATGTAGCAGAAAACATTGTCAGTTCTGTATCAAAGAATCAGCAAAAATATATTTGTAAAATTATACCGTTATGATCTGGATATTTTTATGTCAGTTTTATTTTGTGAATGTGGGGCAATATGTTGTTTTTAATTTTTGCATTCCAATATTTTGCCAATGATCACTCCTTTGTTTACATTTTCTTACTGTTTAATGATTTTGAAGCAAATTATATTATTGTGAGTGTAATGAACTCACATAATTGCTAAAATGTATCAATAGCAGAAATATCCAGATTTACGGTATTCAGTAAAACATTATTAAAAGCACTATAGTAATAGAGTATGGGCAAGGCAATTGAACATAAATGTTGTAGAAAGTAACACATAAATGGCACAGCACAGTATTAGTACTTACAAAGAAGTAACATCATTGGCTTTTATGTGAGTGAGAACATGTCTCTGATTGGCAGGATTTTTGAAAATTGGCACAAAATGCATAATAATATAAAACAAATACAATTCTAAGTTCTACACATCTACACTAAAAAAGTCTAAATGTACTGATAAAATTAGAAAAAAAAGAAAACAATAAAAATTACATACAAGTTAACAGAGTGTTTAAAACAATGTATTTATAAAATGTTTCTCAAAAGCTGCAATGCATTTGATTGATTTGCCAGAGTTTGAATTTAAGGTATTCAATGTATAACGACCATATTTTGTACCTAATAAATGAACTGTCCAATATTTTTAATCATGGTAGCAATTTGAAGATATTATCAAATGAAAATGCTCCACCAAAGGAATTTACAAAGTTTTGATTATTGTCCAATTAATATCACTTTGAATTTTACATTGAAGTCCATGGGCAGTGCATGTTTTTATAAGATATTGTAAAAAGTAATTTGAATTTCAAAGAAATCTCTTGGTGAAAATATGCATAAACTCCCTCTTTATTAAAATATAAAATACAAAAAATTATTTACCACAGAAATTTTGTGAAATCAAAAATTTTCTTCTTTTCATCAAGGGCAGATAACTCTTCAAAAACTGTTAATGTGCGAAATGACTGTCTCCTTACATTTTATAAGTCTTGTGAATTTGGTTTATTTCACTTTTATTGTTTTCTAGCTGTGTGCTTTTAAGGTCAAGATCTAGTAAATGGAAGGTGCCTACAGATTTTTGAAATTTAAGAAATTAATTCCTTTAATGATGCTTTATAACGTTAGCTTGGTCAAAATATGTGTTTCGGGGCTTAATTTGTAGAAAAACAAGATGAAAAACCATATTTTAAACTGTCATTTTCAATGAAAAATTTAGAAAACCAGTATTGAAAATGGGAGTTTTTCCCATATCTGGCAAAGAAAATGTATCCAGATTGCCTACAGTTTTTCAGAAAACGGTTATATGTATGTTCTTAGTCTCTACTTTAAAATAATGTTAAATTTAAGATAGGTATCGGGACTACTTTTCATGTAATTTTAAATTGAATTGCATGAAAATACTTTATTTTCTACATAATCATGATAATTCTATTAGAGCCGTAAAGTACGGAAAAAGAAAGTTGAAAGTGATTATGACGTCATAATGGATTTAGCACTGAAAATTCATTCTAAATTCATTTACTAGATCTTGACCTTAACTATTTTAAAATTATTTAAAATCAGTCAAAATCCCTTCGTTATACATTGAATACTTTAAACAAACCTATGTTTACAAGCACAAAGCAAAGATATACTAGTACTGAAGGTTGTAAAGAGAAACTTATAGAAATAGCAATATTTGTACATACATTCCAATGTTATCATTAACTTAACAAATGTGTAAAGTGATTAGATGGTGAACACATTAGGTAACCTGTACACAAAATAAAATCAACCACATTTGAAACAGCTATGTACATGTTTATCAGTATCATCCAAACATGCCCAAGTGTACAGAAACATACTAGTAATACAAAATAATAATAATAATGAAACATGGAGTATACAACTGATATTGTTATCACAAATGAATGAGTAAAATGGTCCCTGATTAGTAGCAGTACTTATCATAAGCACTAGAATCCCTTTATATCAATTTCGTTGTAATATATTTAACATCCAAAAAAAGAAAAGGAACACTGAACATATAGAATGTGGTGGAAATATATACATTATGCTGAATAATAGCTAAACTAAGTAACCATAATGGTTAAACTTCATAGCTAAACAAAACACCAAATATCCTTGAGTATCATCATGTGAAAAAATAACAAAATTACATAAAGAAGAGGATATGAACATACCGGTATGCATGCAGGCTAACATCTCTAAGGAAAATGCTAAGATAGCACATGCTAAAATAGCATATCATATGTATGTAAACTGAGGTAAAAAAAAAACCCTGAGTAGGTAAACAAGTCATGATGATACAATGCTCTATATACTTTAAATATATACATCTTCTCAATGGACTTGGCACATTAATTCAGCAATAAGGTTACAACTGTGGTTAAAGGAATAGGAACAAAAACATTGTACTAATCTTGTATGAATGGATTTAAAATGGAAAACGTCAAAGATTATATATAGTATGAAACTTAAGTAATGTACAATACGGTATACCTGTTATTTATTTTTTCACAGGAAATAAGAACATATAACTTTATTTATCAAGGAATGTTGTTTTTACATTTAAGGAAGACCTAGCGTACTGTTTGTAGCACATGATGTCAGTGACATATAGGAGATACAAAAAATCTGTTGTACGAAATATTTTAACAATGAATATATGGTACATAAAGGCTGAACAATTTGTACATTTGTGAAAAGTAAGCAATAAACATTGTTGATGGATAAATTAAATGATGGCAATATAGAACAGTTTGATTTGCTTAAAATGGCATATCGAGATAAAAAGGTAACAAATACACAACCACACAAGAACACATCAATGGTATTTACAAATCAGATAGGTTGAGAGAAGCATAATTTAATACAAGTTAGGTTGTAATGTGAACAGTCTATATACATGTACATCATGCATTTTGAATTGTTCAGTGAAAAATCCCAATTCTACTCAAGTTTAAAAATCACTAATAAATCTGTTGTAAAATAAAAACAGTTAAAAATACAAGGGGAATAATGGGGTAAACAACTTCATTATAAAACTAAATGAATTCCACTTGAAAGCAATTCTTCGGCTGGAAACTGTTTTGAAGAAAGTTATGTGTCTGGTAAATACCTCCACCCCAACCTTTAATCAAATGAACTTCCTTGTTAACTGCAGTACAAGTTACAAATGAAAAGCAAGAATACAGAAATGTCAGGAAACTTCACAGGGTTTTGGAAAGGAAGATCTATATGGACAGGACAGAGAGCACATTTATTTGGATTTGCCGACGGAGATGATCTTTTCCATTGTCGAGTCTTAGAATACAAAAGAGCACTGGAGTGGAAGTTTCTTTTCAATCTCGCTCTCCAAGTTTTCGAGAGTGCAATCTAATGCTTTGGACATCATTTCAAGAGGTACATCATAAGTTAGGTAGTCATCCTTTACATTCATGAGGAGGGAGATGTGGAGTTCTGCTTTATGAAATCCAATGACGGATCCCTGAACTTTTACTACTGGCGGCTCACATTCCTGGAACAGAGAAGAATACTTTAAAATAATAGACTCAATGAGCATTATTTAATTTAAGAATTGCTTGTAATTTTTGAAAGCAGTATATTATATAATGGAATAATAGTATATTAATATAAAGAATGTCTTTTTATTGTTGGAATACATTAAACAGGGATAAAATAAAGACAAAAAGTGCCAGTGATGTGACAATTTAGCTACATTTAACCCCCAGACCCCCTCTTTAAAATGATAGGAATGAAAATAACTTAGCTGGAAGACTTAAATATTATAGGCGCGTTTGCTATAATAATATGGTTTTACTGTAAATAAATACCATTTTGTATTATTTGATTTATAACATAAATGCCTTTGAAACAAGTTTATGAATTAAAAATGGGAGTACAATGTTACTTCAAGAACACTCTTAGAAGTCGTTGAAACAGAGATCTCTTCATTGAAGTTGGTCACAACAACATTGGTTATTGACAAGTATTTCCCAACAATGGATGAGTCACTCAAGTCCCTCCACAGGGAAACTTTAATACTGTCAGTGTCGTCTTTGAGAGAGACACTCTTTACACAGACATCTACTCCCTTCACCTTCACGGTTTTGGTCATATCCTCCTTCAATGAGAAAAATCAGATTAAAGATATAAGAATATGGTAATTTAAAAAGCACGGTAGTTGACAATATAATAAAACAATTTGTTTAATTAAGGATGTGTATCCAATATTTCACAGTTATTCTGCATAGGAATTAAGCTAAAATGACTGACTATATGTTAAAATCTGTAAGAGTAGTACATATGAAATTTGACTTATTTAAGTTAATACGGGTACTTACAGACACAATTCTGCCCTTGACAGAGACCAGGGACTTCACAGGTAATGTCTTGATGTCCTTAATGGGTCGAGTCATAGCAGGTGGTGGATTTGCAATCCTCGCACCTTTCTCCATAGTTGCATGTGGAACCTCCATGGCTCCTGTTTTCATGACTTTTGTGTTTTTGGTAATAATGACTGTTGGTTCATTTTCATTCTTGTAGATGTAATTCATCAGAATCACGGTGTTGTCTGCATTCAGGGATTTGAGTTTCGTGGTGTCATATACAGTGCCCTTCATGGCATCTGTTGAATCAGCTAGTCCAACTGTGGCACATTCCTTTTTTTCTCCATTGTCTGTTTGATACCTTTGAATAGTACCAACTCCACACACTTTCACCTTAAGGGGTTGCGAGTACGGTTTGTTTCCCTTGCTCTCTCTCAGTTTAGCAACTGTTAGCATCTGTAATAAAAGAAAACAAGAGGCCCAAGGGCCTTGAATCGCTCTTCTGATAAATTGTACAACCTATCACTTGTATTTCAAGCCTCTAACCAAAAGTATCCTATTAAAGACCCAAGTTGCATCACCTGACAAAGTTTGATGATTCTTAGCCAATTAGATCTACTTTTTGGTCTACAATCTTGGAAATCACAAAATGCATCAAGTGACAAAGTTTGATAATTCTAAGCCAATAAATACCTGAGCTATTTAAAAGTAGGTCACTGTGATCTCAGAAAAACCAAGATGCATCAACTGACAAAGCATGATGATTCTTAACTAATAAGTACCAGAGATACTTAAATATAGCCATAAAATGTCGAAAGTAGGTCATTGTGACCTACATTTTGGTTGACATTTTTAGAGTCCCATGACGCATCTGCTGACCAAGTTTGATAATTCTAAGCCAATAAATACCTGAGATATTCAAAAGTAGGTCACCATGACCTACTTTTAGGTCGACATTCTCCGAAAATCCAAGATGCATCAACTGACAAAGTATGATGATTCTAAATCGATAAGTACTAGAGATACATAAATATAGCCATCAAATGTCAAAAAGTAGGTCACCGTGACCTACTTTTTGGTCGACATTCTACGAAAACCCAAGATGCATCAAATGACAAAGTTTGATGATTCTAAGCCAATAAGTAACGGAGAATACTTAAATATAGCCATAAAATGTCGAAAGTAGGTCATTGTGACCTACATTTTGGTTGACATTTTACAGAGTCCCAAGATGCCTCTGCTGACCAAGTTTGATAATTCTAAGCCAATAAATACCTGAGATATTCAAAAGTAGGTCACCATGACCTACTTTTTGGTCGACATTTCCCGAAAACCCAAGATACATCAACTGACAAAGTTTGATGATTCTAAGCCAATAAGTACTGGAGATACTTAAATATCGCCATAAAATGTCAAAAGTAGGTCACTGTGACCTAATTTTTGGTCGTCACTATACGAAAACCCAAAATGCATCAACCCACAAAGTTTGATGATTCTAAGCCAATAAATACCTAAGATACTTAAATATAACCATAAAATGTCCAAAAAAAGTAGGTCACCGTGACCTACATTTTGGTCGACATTTTTCAGAGTCCCAAGATTCATCTCCTGACAAAGTTTGATGATCATAGGTTTGAAGGTAATCAAAATATGCCTTTTAAACAATTTGAAAACAAATGCCTGCAAAATTCTAAAAGTAGGTCATAGTGACCTACTTTTTCTTAAATATGTTTTAAGGTCCCATGATGCAGCAACTTACAAGATTTGATGATTCTAACCCTTTCAGTGCCTGAAATAATGGGATTAAATGTTTTGAAAAGGATAAGTCATAAAGTTCAAAAAGTAGGTCACGGTGACCTACTTTTAAGTTGACGTTGTTCAAAGACCCAAGATGCATCAACTGACTAAGTTTGATGATCGTAGGCCTTAAAATATTCAAAATATGCCTTTAAATCAATTTGAAAACGAATGCCCGCAAAATTTAAAAAAAGTAGGTCACCGTGACCTACTTTTGAGTTAACATGATGTGAAGTCCTAAGATGCATCAACTTACAAGATTTGATGATCCTAGTCCTTATAGTAAGCAAAATATGAACATTTTTATTAATTGTAAATTTAGGTCAACTTTAAAGTGATCTTGAGACCACGCCCTTTGCCCCAGGGTCATGCCTTGAACAATTTTTAATCTTCAACATATCCTGATCCTTGTATGCAAGTTTGGTGAAAATCTGCCTGGTGGTTCTGGAGAAGAAGATTTTTTAGCAACCAGTACTTTTTGTTTTGTTTTGCTGATTATCTCCCCTTGATTCAGGGTCCCAACCCTTATTTTAGTATAAACGGTAGCCCTTGGGCCAAGGATACCCTGTGACAAATTTGACACTGATTGGCCAAGGGGTTCTTGAGTTATGGCCCATATTCTAAAAAGTTAACACACACCGCACACGCACACACCGCACAAATGGCCATAGCATTAGCTCTTTGAGCCTTTGGCTCAGAAGAGCTAAAAACATGATTTGTTTTTTATGTTACAGGAAATTATCATCTTAATATTATTTCTTTATTTTTAAATTAAAATTTCAAATATTCAATTAATTAAGAAAAATAAGTACCCTAAATAATGCTATCAAATCTCTTTAAATTTGGATGGGTGTGAAATAGTAGCAAGAAAAGTGAATTATTAGGTATATCATACTGTCAGTATGATGTTGAAGGTGAAATACACAATAATACATTTGTATTGCTACATTATTTATGTTTATTCATTCTAATTAGGGTCAGTCGAGTATCCCTCTTTTTAAGGACCAGGATTAGTATTTAAGAACTGAGTGAACTTATGTCAGTGCAATATACAGGGGCTTATGATCTGAAAAGTAAGCCTCAAGTGTCACCCAACTTTGAATTTGAGTTTCAGGAATGTTTGTGTATATGTGATCAAGTGCAGATTCATAGTCAGTAGTGGAACCTGTAGGTAGGTATCTTAAATTGAAGTGGGACATGAATTCAATGATGTTTCCTGCTTGTGATGAAAGATTGTCAGCATTGAAGTCTCCAGTCAATACAACATGGTTGGAATCTTTCAAACAGTCTTGAAACATATTTTGAAGCATGTTTTTGACAGTTTTCAGATTGGCCTTTGGTGGGATATACAAGAACATAAATAACAATAACTTTCCGCTGCGAATTTCAATAAGCAAGGAAAAGATTTGAATATTCTGTTCTCCCTTTTGGTGATTTTTTGAACAGTTAATGATTCCTTCACATAAAAAGCAAGACCATATGATGGTCGTTGGTTGCTATGTTGTGGAGAATCAAACCTATACATTGTATATCCTGGCAAAGAAAGTGTGTCAGCATCATCAGTTTCGATAAGTCTTGTTTCAGAAATTGCTAATACGTCAGAACTCATAAGGTTGAAATCCTTCTCCAAATCATCCTTGTGCTTATGAAGCGATCTTATGTTGAATGATGTTAAAACTGTAGAATGAGGGTCCTTTCTACCCAAATTATTAATACACATTTCCATCTTTCCCTCACATCTAAGCCTGTTCATCTCTTCTAACACAGCTGGTGACAGTGAAATCTTTTTTTCATTCAAATTTGTGATGTGTAGGTTCTCAATATGTGTAACCCTACTGAGTCCCACATAATGCATATGGTCATTTTTTCTTGTTCCAAAATTTATAACTGCAGACTTCATAGTTGAGCCTTGTGCTTTGTGAATAGTTTTGGCAGCCCCTAACCTTAGAGGAAACTGTCTTCGTTTAACATGATATGTACCATTCATCTGAATTTGAAATTGCCTCGTTATTTCTAATATCGGTGTCCAAGTTTTCTCAATTTCACTTTTGAATAGTCTTGCATATTCCTTGCGCAACTCCTTCCCAATGTTTTCATCATCAAATTGCACCCAAACGATGCTACACCTTGTTGATCCTTGCACGCGATAATCAAAGAGTTTAACTGTACATGATGCACCATTTGTGATTCCATCTTGAACATTAACATTATTGGTTATTTCAGCTGGAACTCCAATAACCAAACACAATACAGATGATAACCCCAGTGTTCTGGCAGAATCATCAGGAACTCTTGCTAACACTTTGGATTTTACAGCTTCTTCAGATGCTCAAATAACCCAGTCTATAGCATTTATACTGATTTTCTGCAAATCATCTGCCATGTCATATATTTTGTTATTGTATGACTGTACTTCATTTCTTGTGGTAAACAAATGGGGTATATTTTGTGTATCTGCAGTCTCAGACTTCACACATTGATATAGTACGGTAATGTCTTGTTAGGTCTTTCCACCTTTCTGTGGAAAGACCTATTGATTTCCTTCTGTTTCTTTTTTTCCTTTTTATTTTTTATTATTTTTCCGCCGTGTGATTTTGAGTTTCAAGATTTATCGAAAAGATTTTAAGTTCATAAGAATGTACTCCGTAAAAGATTTTCGCAGTTGACCCTGCGTATATGAACTATGACCCCTTTCGGAGTTATTACCCCTTTCGCAAACAAGCTTGTTATCGCTACTCCTCTGAAACCGTAAACCGTAGAGAAATGAAACCTGCACCAATGTCTTCGACTATTTAAGGGGACTTTTCAATCTATTCATTGTGAAAGTATTTGGTGACCCCTTCAATGAGTTATTGCCCCTGAAACTTTTTGAATTTCACTTTTAATAAAAAAATTTCAAAACGAAAAGTTGTAGAGACATGGGACCAACTGCATAAGATTCATTGACATTTGACCTTCAAATTCATGTAAAGGTCAAAGGTCAAGGTCATTCCAAAACTGAGAAATTAAACTCTTTTTATATCTCCTTTGTCTTTTAACATATACTTAATGTCTATGCATCATTGATATGTACTCTTAAAACTTTTTCAAAGATTTTATTCTTGTCCCCTAAGATTAACCCTGTTAAAAGTTATTGCCCCTTGTGCGAAAAACCGTGTTATCGCTACTCCTCTGAAACCGTGAACCGTAGAGGTATGAAACTTTCACCAATGTCTTCGACGATTTAAGGGGCTTTTTCAATCTATTCATTGTGAAAGTATTTGGTGACCCCTTCAATAGGTTGATTGCCCCTAAACTTTTTGAATTTTACTTTTAATTAAAAATTTTCAAAACGACAAGTCATAGAGACATGGGACCAACTGCATAGATTCATTGACCTTTGACCTTAAATTTCATGTAAAGGTCAAAGGTCAAGGTCATTCCAAAACTGTGAAATTTAGCTCTTTTTATATCTCTTTTGTCTTTCAACATATACTTAATGTCTTATATATCATTTATATATGTAATCTTAATACTGTTTAAAAGATTTTGTTCTTGTCCCCTAACATTAACCCTTTTAAAAGTTATTGCCCCTTGTGCGAAAAACCTTGTTATCGCTACTCCTCCGAAACCGTAGCAGCAAAAGCAGACATAACCTTCTCTAATGTCTTAAGTGTCTT